TTGCAAACTAACCTGGCTGATGCGGGCTCTAATGTGAGTGTTTTACCTTTCTTTGGAATTTCATAATAAAGACATACTTCACTATCAATACAATTTTGCCTTGTGGCTCGTTATTCTGCGAGTCATGAAAGGTGCACCATCGTAGGAGAAAGTACTTACCAGGAGGCTGGACGTCGGTGGACCTACCGGGGAGCTTTATGTGACCCCAGAGTGAGTGCTGACATCCCCTGAGTGTCTGCCATAGTGACCGGATGCTGCCCGCAGTGGGAACCAGACTCCTTTTCCGTTGATGGTACACCTGATGACATACATACAACGCTCAGTTTGTATGTTCTTGTGGTAAGCGCATAAGTTTATTGGAATGTTCAGGATTTTTACGCTGATTTTACGCTGAATTGAACATTTGATTTTTATATTCTACAAACCTACATGGTTATATCCACCTTACTTGGAACTTGGATAGGTTTTTAAATAATATTATTGTGTTTCAGCAGTGATATTTCTATCAGAGTTTCTCAAAGACATTCATTTAGCGCTGTATACCTTGTCATTTTATTTGTCATACCCCATAATGACAACGTTAAAGAAGTTTGTTTTGAAATCTTTGCAATTTATTAAAAATAAAAAATGAAAAACACCACATGTACGTATTCCCAGCCTTTGCCATGACACTCACAATTGAGCTCTGGTGCATCCTGTGCACCCACTGATCATCCTGGAGATGTTTTCACAACCTGATTGGAGTCCACCTGTGGGAAATTCAGTTGATTGGACATGATCAGGAAAGGCATAAACCTGTCTATATAAGATCTCACAGTTAACAGTTCATGTCAGAGCGCAAACCAAGCCATGAAGTCCAAGGAATTGTCCGTAGACCTTTCATGTTGTCATTATGGGGTATTGTTTGTAGAATGTTGAGGAAAAAAATGAATTTAATCCATTTTGGAATAAGGCTGTAACATAACAAAAATGTTGCAAAAGTCAAGCGCTGTGAATACTTTCTGGATGCACTGTATATATATATATATATATATATATATATATATATATATATGAGAAACATCCCATGTCCTCCCTAATAGAAGTCTAATATATTATATAGCATAATCTAAAGGGAATACAGTAGGACGTAATGGATAAATAATGGTGTTCATTTCAAGCTCTTCGTTGAGTCCCTTGGGTGCCAGAGTATTGAGGGTGAAGATCCAAAAAGTCTCCTTCCTGCAGAGTCTTTTGCATGTCCATGAGGGATTCCCCATATCCTTGGCGAGGTGCTTGTTTGTGTTTTACTCCATAGTGATCCAGCTGCCCCACTCTGATGCAGATCCATTTATGGACTATAATATTTTTTGCACTGTTTATATTTATTTATACAATTCTTGTTTTCATTTACACCTATTTGTTTCCATTGTAGTCTATGAGCGCTGGATTTGGCTGGCTTGTTATTGTTTCAAGTAGCTATTTTACTTATTTACTATAAGGGCTCTCCCGCCTCTCTCTTTTCTTTTCCGTTGGACACCATGTGCTGCCCCAGAAACTGCTGGTCAGCCCTTTGAGATTAAGCTACTGGTACCTCCGAGTGACCACCACATCCTAAACCTCACAGAACTACGAGGGGCGTTCAAGTCAAACCAGGACTTTTGACTTTATGTAATAAAAGAACAAATTTCAAGGAGTGGAAACTGTATTTATTTTTTTCGACATACTCCCCTGCTACATTTATAGACTTATCCCAGCATTTACCTAATGCCTGGAAAGCTTCAGCATAGAACGATTTGTCAGTACGCATGGACCTTCCTAGGACAGCCTGCTTGACTTCATCATCATTGTGTTCCCACAGAAAAGATTCATCTCTTGTGCAATTTCATGATGTGATGTATTGATTATCCAGGATTAGGCGTTCCATGCGCTGAATGTTCACAGGAATGACTGCTGTGGGCTGGGAACTACCATGGCCGGGATTGGCACTGACGGACGGACGGCCATCTTTTAAATGTTTACACCACTCAAATGTCTTTCTGTGGCTGAGCGTCTTATCACTGTACTGAGCTTGAAGACTTCTGTAGATATCTGTGGGTTTTATGACTTCATTCACAAGAAACTTCATCCCCACACACTGTTCCACGTATGCACTAACACTGTTGTCTGCCATCTTGATTACCGGTCTCTGGACTGGCCCGCACCATGTGTCCTGCCAGTCAGTAATAGGACGCACCTGCCACTTACTACTGCATGTAGTACCGCCACGCCAGCATCCTTTTTTATACCTGTAAAATTCATAGTTCCAGTTTTACTTGAACGCCCCTCTTAGTATGCAATTGGACAGTGGCAGCTTCCTTCAAATAATTCTCACACAGGTATAAAGCATCAATAATTTGGAGACGCCATATTGCTGAACTCCATGTTCTAGCAGGCAAAGATCTACAGGTAGCTTATTGTAAGTATATACTGAGGTTCTCCAACCTATGGCCCACGGGCCAAATACAGACAGGATTTTGTCCATCCCCCTATGGTCAGTGGCGTATTCCTCAGTGTTCATTGATTGAGAATCAAGGTTAACACAGGCTGTCTATGGTGTCTGCTTATGAAGTAAAGGGGGTTTTGATAGGCACACTGATGTAAGGGGAGCCCTAAAGTGGACCCTGATGTAAGGGGGTGCCTAATGGAGACCTTGATGTAAAGGGGAGTCTAATGAGGACCCTGATGTAAGGGGGGAGTCTAATGGGGACCTTGATGTAAAGGGGAGTCTAATGAGGACCCTGATGTAAGGGGGTGCCTAATGGGGACCTTGATGTAAAGGGGAGTCTAATGAGGACCCTGATGTAAGGGGGTGCCTAATGGGGACCTTGATGTAAAGGGGAGTCTAATGAGGACCCTGATGCAAGGGGGAAGTCTAAAGGGACCCTGATGCAAGGGGGGAGTCTAATGGGGACCCTGATGCAAGGGGGTGTCTAATGAGGACCTTGATGCAAGGGGGGAGTCTAATGGGGACCCTGATGCAAGGGGGAGTCTACTAGGGACCCTGATGTAAGGGGGAGTCTAATAGGGACCCTGATGTAAGGGGGAGTCTAATGGGAATCCTGATGTAAGATGGAGTCTAAAGGGGACTGTGATATAAGGGGAAGTCTAATGGAGACCCTGATGCAAGGGGGGAGTCTAGTGGTGACCCTGATGCAAGGGGGAGTCTAATGGGGACCCTGATGTAACGGAGAGTCTAATGCAGACAACGATTTAAGGGGGAGCCTAATGGGGACCCTGATGTAAGGGTGAGTCTAATGGGAACCCTGATGTAAGGGGGAGAGTCTAATGGAGACCCTGATGCAAGGGAGAAGTCTAATGGGGACCCTGATGCAAGGGGAATCTATTGGAGACCCTGTTGTAAGGGGGAGTCTAATGGAGACCCTGATGCAAGGGGGGAGTCTAATGGAGACCCTGATGCAAGGGGGGAGTCTAATGGGGACCTTGATGCAAGGGGGAGTCTAATGGGGACCCTGATGTAAGGGGGAGTCTAATGGGGACAATGATGCAAGGAGGAGTCTAATGGGGACCTTGATATAAGGGGAAGTCTATTGGGGACCCTGATGTAAGGGGGGAGTCTAATGGGGACCCTGATGTAAGGGGGAGTCTAATGGGGACAATGATAAAAGGAGGAGTCTAATGGGGACCTTGATATAAGGGGAAGTCTATTGGGGACCCTGATGTAAGGGGGGAGTCTAATGGAGACCCTGATGCAAGGTGGAGTCTAATGGGGACCCTGATGCAGGGGGGAGTCTATTGGGTACCTTGTTTAAAGTGGGGACTTTGATGGGGAACTTGATGTAAGGGGGGACTCCGATAGGGCCCTGATACAGGGGGACACTGATGGGGATTTTTTTTTTTTGACCCACGAATACTACAATGTGGCCATCATATTGAAACGTTTGGAGACCCCTGGTATATACCATAAACCAAACCTTTTGCATCATTACTTTGAGAAAGATCTTTTCTCCGACAGCGACAGAAGCGTTAACCGCCCCTCTGTTTACACGCATCAAAAATAGGAGGAATTCAATCTTCTTTTCTGTGCAATCTGATAACCACAAAAAATGCCACCCACAACTCCACAAGTACCTTGCCAAACAAATAATTTAATTGCTTCAGAATTATCTGCTCCTAATCATTCTTAGCCTAATTACCATTCATCTTTAGTCAGTGGATGCATTGATTCATGGGTTATTGTTTGTAATCTTTTAATTTCTCATTAAAAAAAAAAAAAATGCGCGGTACATAGAGAGAGAGAGAGAACTTTAATCCGCTAAATGGAGCCAAAGTCGGGCGACTAAATAGGAAATCCTTCAGACAATATTTTTTGGTTTCTATAATGCTGTCACTCAATGTGTAATTAAAAGTTGCACGCCTGTTGTTTTATCTGTCAACATTTTCATATGAATGCCGTTTAAATTAATTACTAAAAGTAAATACATTATAAATCAAAACACTTTTCTTGGAACAAATAGGACAGGGAACAAAAGGCTTAATAAACCTCGGGAAAGATGAACAATTTAATGGGAGGATTTTTTTTTTTTTTTGTGTGTGTGTATGTATATCTCGCTAGTTTTGTTGTTTTTTTTTTTTTTTTTTTTTTTTTTTATTTAAACTTATTTGGTGGATTTTGCATTTGAATCTTTCTTTCTCCGCCACGTGCGGGATTGGGCGCAAAGCAAAAAGACATCAAGGGATGCCGTTCGGAATCAGCAGTAATGGGATTTCTGCGAAAAGAGTGGATATTGGAGAGAGCCGTGATAAATGCCGTCTTTGTATCGTGCTATTGCGAGACTCGCTGCTTCTTTTGTCTACCATGCTAGATGATTTTTTTTATTCTGCATTTAATTGAATAGCTAAAACACTGGCTGAAGCTTCATCTGTGGCCTTGTAGTGATGGCATTGATGGGACGTTATTTTTTATATGAGGACATTGGTGACAACAACTGCAGGTCTCATAGTGGTTCCTACTCTTGCTGTAGCCTCCCTGGCGGTATTCCCGAGTGTAGCTCGGGGTAAAGTTTGAGCACCACAAGCGGTAACACCCGAGCTACACTCGGGCTTACCATGTGACGCTGCTCCGGGATCTCTTCTTCACTTACCTCGCCCTGCACTCCCACGATGTCCCTCCTGCAGTGTCCCCTGTAATGTCCTCCGGCCGATGCCGGCATCTGTCATCTGTTTTCCGTTCCCTGCGAGCGTCGGGACGTACGGGGGACGGAACTGGCGGGAAATTTTAAAATTTTAAAAGTGACATTCACTAAATACACTAAAATCACATAGTATAACATTCCTGTATCAAACCATTTCACATACATTTTATCCCGAGTGCTTTGTCCGGCGCCCTGCCTGCATTGTTACTGTTCTTTCTGCCTGGAAACTTATAAAAGTCCATGGCGTCCAAAAAGCGTCCCTTTACATCAAAAGCGGTTTTAGACCGGCTAGAGAACAGCGATAGTAAATCAGAACCACTTGCAGAATTGAGTGATAATGATTCGTGGGGGAAATTCCTCATCAGACACTGAAAACGATTCTGCGACTTTGCTCAGTGATGTGCGAACTTGGCGCTATATTTCAAATTTCAGTGTTTTTGGTTTGTTTATATTATTGAATGAAATTTATTATATTATTATTATTTTTATGATTACCGTATTTTTCGCTCCATAAGACGCACTTTTTCCCCCCCAAAAAAGGGGGAAAAATGTCAGTGCGTCTTATGGAGCAAATGTACAGTGCCGGTCCGGTATTTCTGCCGCCACCATGTCAGAATACCGGGCCGGCCGCTCAGCTGTTCTCTCCTGCAGAACCTTACCTGTTCCTCGCTCCAGCGCTGCAGTCTTCCCGCGGCAGCTTCTGTGACAGCCGGGTGCCCACTGCGCATGTGCGAGAAGCGCCGCGCTTTGTGAATGGTCCAGTGTCTTCTGGGGCACATAACAGGTCCCAGAAGGCTCCGGGCCATTCACAAAGCGCAGCGCTTCTCGCGCATGCGCAGTGGGCACCCGGCTGTCACAGAAGCTGCTGCGGGAAGAAGAAGGAAAGACAACTCCGCGGAAGTGGGAGCGGATACCTGTCAAATCAGGTACCCGCTCCCCCTCCCTCCCCAAAGGTCCGCAGTCTCTGGTAATCTCCTGCACTGTCTGCAGTCTCTGGTCAACCCCTGCACTGTCTGCAGTCTCTGGTCATCTCCTGTACTGTGTGCGCAGTCTCTGGTCATCTCCTGTACTGTGTGCGCAGTCTCTGGTCATTCCCTGTACTGTGTCCGGAGTCTCTGGTCATCTCCTGTACTATATCCACAGTCTCTGGTCATCTCCTGTACTGTCCGCAGTCTCTGGTCATCTCCTGTACTGTGTCCGCAGTCTCTGGTCATCCCTGTACTGTGTCCGCATTCTCTGGTCATCCCCTGTACTGTGTCCGCAGTCTCTGGTCATCCCCTGTACTGTGTCCACAGTCTCTGGTCATCTCCTGTACTGTGTCCGCAGTCTCTGGTCATCTCCTGTACTGTGTCCGCAGTCTCTGGTCATCTCCTTTACTGTGTCCGCAGTCTCTGGTCATTCCCTGTACTGTGTCTGCAGTCTCTGATCATCTCCTGTACTGTGTCCGCAGTCTCTGGTCATCACCTGTACTGTCCGCAGTCTCTGGTCATCTCCTGTACTGTGTCTGCAGTCTCCGGTCATCTCCTGTACTGTGTCCGCAGTCTCTGGTCATTTCCTGTACTGTGTCTGCAGTCTCTGGTCATCTCCTGCACTGTGTCCGCAGTCTCTGGTCATCTCCTGTACTGTGTCCGCAGTCTCTGGTCATCTCCTGTACTATGTCCACAGTCTCTGGTCATCTCCTGTACTATGTCCGCAGTCTCTGGTCATCTCCTGTACTATGTCCGCAGTCTCTGGTCATCTCCTGCACTGTGCCCGCAGTCTCTGGTCATCTCCTGTACTGTGTCCGCAGTCTCTGGTCATCTCCTGTACTATGTCCGCAGTCTCTGGTCATCTCCTGTACTGTGTCCGCAGTCTCTGGTCATCTCCTGTACTGTGTCCGCAGTCTCTGGTCATCTCCTGTACTATGTCCGCAGTCTCTGGTCATCTCCTGTACTGTGTCCGCAGTCTCTGGTCATGTCCTGTACTGTGTCCGCAGTCTCTGGTCATCTCCTGTACTGTGTCTGCAGTCCATTGGTTCAGAATATTTTTTTTATTGTTTTTCTCCTCTAAAACCTAGGCGCGTCTTATGGTCAGGTGCGTCTTATGGAGCGAAAAATACAGTATTTATTAAATTATAATATATGATTTCGTGTTTTCAAATTTTATTCTACCCGGGATGTTTACTAGACTCTTGTTCGGACAGATTTCAGTGAGTTATTCCTATAAATTACAGGCCTACAATAAAAAAAAAATACATATTTCCATGCAAAAAAATTTACCGCTTTGAGCACAGAAATATGGACATAATCAGACCGCTAGGGAGGTTAAATTCAATGGCGACATGAAAATAAGCCGATGCTGTGGGCCCACTAATGGTGCAAAATTTGAATGAAAATTCATAGCTGCGATTTTCGAAAGAGCATTTTCTTCAGAATTCAACCCATGTACTTTACTTTCATTGCTGACGATATTGATGATCATGGCAATGAGAGAGCGCAATATAAACCTAACAGGTTTCTACTCTATCAACACTATCCTTTAAAAAAAAGGTTTGCATTAGTTACACTCAAAGTAGCCATTTTCAAACCAGTACTCTATGGAACCTTCGGGTTCCTCCATAGGTGGCTAGGGGTTCCTTGATCTCAGGCTGATTGTCCTGCCAATTGAGGCTGCTTGGATACTTCCAAGGGCCAACTCTATTTGGCAAAACCAGCATCAAGACACAATCATCTTTTTAGTTGTCTGTAAAGGTGGCATTCTGGCCATCACTGTAAAAGTTGCATTCTTACCCCCGACCACCAGTGTAAGGGGAAATTTCTCCAATCAAAAAGTGTCATCTCCACAGTATATCATAAATAAGTCCACAAAAATCTCCAGTGAAACCAGCCAATCCCATGTGAACGATCAAGCGCTCTTATGGAATACAATGGCTGTTACCACACACTCCACCCACTGCCATGTTAATTCTCTCACCTTGAAACAATGACGTGTAAAAAAGAGGCCAGTAAAGCTTTGTTACCCATACACGGGTTAATATGGTGCAGCGAGCTCTTTCTTTGCCACACACATAGAAATCCAATACATCTTCCACCCAATATACATACAGTTGTGCTCAAAAGTTTGCATACCCTGGCAGAAATTGTGATATTTTGGCATTGATATTGAAAATAATCATGCCAAAAACTGTCTTTTATTTGAGGATAGTGATCGTATCAAGCCATTTATTATCGCATAGATGTTTGGATCCTTTTTAAATCCTAATAACAGAAATCACCCAAATGGCCCGGATCAGAAGTCTCCGCCCCCTGGAATGTTTGGCCTTGGTACAGACACAAGGTGATACACATGGGGGAAAATTCCAATTAAAGGTTAATTTTCCACATCTGGGGCTTTTTAAATTGCAATTAGTGTCAGCGTATAAATAGTCAATGGGTTTGTTAGCTCTTATGTGGATGCACTAAGCAGGCTAGATACTGAGCCATGGGGATCAGAAAAGAACTGTCAAAAGACCTGCTTAACAAGGTAGTTTATAAGAACATTGGGGAACTGGAGAAAGTACAGAGAAGGGCCACCAAACTGGTAAGAGGCATGGAGGAACTCATCCATGAGGAAAGATTAGAGGAACTGAATTTATTCTCTCTTGAGAAGAGGAGATTAAGGGGGGATATGATCTCCATGTATAGTACATAAGGGGGGATATGATCTCCATGTATAATACACAAGGGGGATATGATCACCATGTATAATACATAAGGGGGGATATGATCTCCATGTATAATACATAAGGGGGGATATGATCTCCATGTATAATACATAAGGGGGGATATGATCTCCATGTATAATACATAAGGGGGGGATATGATCTCCATGTATAATACATAAGGGGGATATGATCTCCATGTATAATACATAAGGGGGGATATGATCTCCATGTATAATACATAAGGGGGATATGATCTCCATGTATAATACATAAGGGGGATATGATCTCCATGTATACTACATAAGGGGGGATATGATCTCCATGTATAATACATAAGGGGGGGGATATGATCTCCATGTATACTACATAAGGGGGGATATGATCTCCATGTATAATACATAAGGGGGGGGATATGATCTCCATGTATAATACATAAGGGGGATATGATTTCCATATATAATACATAATGGGGGGGTATGATCTCCATGTATAATACATAAGGGGGGGATATGATCTCCATGTATAATACATAAGGGAGGATATGATCTCCATGTATAATACATAAGGGGGGGATATGATCTTCATGTATAATACATAAGGGGGATATGATCTCCATGTATAATACATATGGGGGGATATGATCTCCATGTACAGTACATAAGGGGGGATATGATCTCCATGTATAATACATAAGGGGGATATGATCACCATTTATAATACATAAGGGGGGATATGATCTCCATGTATAATACATAAGGGGGATTGATCACCATGTATAATACATAAAGGGGGGATATGATCACCATGTATAATACATAAGGGGGGATATGATCTCCATGTATAATACATAAGGGGGGGATATGATCTCCATGTATAATACATAAGGGGGGATATGCTCTCCATGTATAATACATAAGGGGGATATGATCTCCATGTATAAAACATAAGGGGGGATATGATCTCCATGTATAATACATAAGGGGGGATTTGATCTCCATGTATAATACATAAGGGGGGATATGATCTCCATGTATAATACATAAGGGGGATATGATCTCCATGTATAATAACATAAGGGGGATATGATCTCCATGTATAATACATAAGGGGGATATGATCTCCATGTATAATACATAAGGGGGGATATGATCTCCATGTATAATACATAAGGGGGGATATGATCTCCATGTATAATACATAAGGGGGATATGATCTCCATGTATAATACATAAGGGGGGGATATGATCTCCATGTATAATACATAAGGGGGGATATGATCTCCATGTATAATACATAAGGGGGATATGATCACCATGTATAATACATAAGGGGGATATGATCTCCATGTATAATATACATAAGGGGGATATGATCTCCATGTATAATACATAAGGGGGGGATATGATCTCCATGTATAATACATAAGGGGGGATATGATCTCCATGTATAATACATAAGGGGGGATATGATCACCATGTATAATACATAAGGGGGGATATGATCACCATGTATAATACATAAGGGGGGATATGATCACCATGTATAATACATATGGGGGGATATGATCTCCATGTACAATACATAAGGGGGGATATGATCACCATGTATAATACATATGGGGGGATATGATCTCCATGTACAATACATAAGGGGGGATATGATCACCATGTATAATACATAAGGGGGTTATATGATCACCATGTTAATACATAAGGGGGGGATATGATCACCATGTATAATACATAAGGGGGATATGATCTCCATGCATATTACATAAGGGGGGATATGATCTCCATGTATAATACATAAGGGGGAATATGCTCTCCATGTATAATACATAAGGGGGATATGATCAACATGTATAATACATAAGGGGGGGGTATGATCAACATGTATAATACATAAGGGGGGTTGACCTCCACGTATAATACATAAGGGGGGATATGATCACCATGTATAATACGTAAGGGGGATATGATCAACATGTATAATACATAAGGGGGGGTATGACCTCCATGTATAATACATAAGGGGGGGTATGACCTCCATGTATAATACATAAGGGGGGATATGATCTCCATGTATAATACATAAGGGGGGGATATGATCTCCATGTATAATACATAAGGGGGATATGATCTCCATGTATAATACATAAGGGGGGATATGATCACCATGTATAATACATAAGGGGGATATGATCTCCATGTATAATACATAAGGGGGATATGATCTCCATGTATAATACATAAGGGGGGGATATGATCACCATGTATAATACATAAGGGGGGATATGATCACCATGTATAATACATAAGGGGGGATATGATCAACATGTATAATACATAAGGGGGATATGATCTCCATGTATAATACATAAGGGGGGATATGATCTCCATGTATAATACATAAGGGGGGGATATGATCTCCATGTATAATACATAAGGGGGATATGATCTCCATGTATAATACATAAGGGGGGATATGATCTCCATGTATAATACATAAGGGGGATATGATCTCCATGTATAATACATAAGGAGGGATATGATCTCCATGTATAATACATATAGGGGGGGGGGGATATGATCTCCATGTATAATACATAAGGGGGGGTATGATCTCCATGTATAAATACATCAGTGGTACATATAGTGAACTCGGTTGTAGAGTTATTGCCCCTGAGGTCATCACAGAGGACAGGGGGGGCGCTCTTTACATCTGGAGGAAAAGAAATGTAATCTCCAAACACGGAAAGGTTTCTTCACAGTAAGAGCTGTGAAAATGTGGAATAGACTCCCTCAAGATTTGGTTGTGGCCAGGTCAGTGGATTGCTGTAGGAAAGTCCTGGATTCTTTCTTGGATACACAGAATATAACTGGATATAACATTTATAGGTAAAGGTGATCAGGGAATATCCGATTGCCTCTCGGGGGTCAGGAAGGAATGTTTTTCCCTGCAGGAGCAAATTGGATCATGCCAACTGTGGGTATAGGATTATAACTTTTTGTTTTAATTTTTGATCTGGGTGGACTTTTGTCTTTTTTCAGCCAGACT